GACATATGAAGTCCAAGTACAAAATTTCTATGGTGTTTCTGCTGAGAACGTGCTGAAGGGTAACAAACAGAGAAGTAGAGACATGGGCATTTCCAAAGAGCGGGGCAGTTTTATTTGTGATCACATGCTTGTTCAGATACTGGTTCCCTTGGCTACAGAGACAGAGTTTATGGAAAGAAGAATAGAGATTTGATCAGGAGATATTTAAATAGAAACAATTCTTTTGACTCGGGAGAAAATGGGGTAAATTAGCCCAATCACAGGGCTGAGAGGAACCAGGAATGTGAATAGGTCAGTCATAGCTGTCAGCCCATTGAAGGCTCTCCTATGTGGCCGCTCAAGTGTGGAGGTGGGGATGAGGTTCATGTGTGTTGGGCTGTCATCCCACATTGGAGTTGCGTGACCCCACCCACAGCCTCTTGCCTGTTCAACCTGAGACAACAGCACACGTTCAAGGTGCAAAGGAAGCTTCCAGGGCTTTTTCTGGCCGTGGAGAAACTCACAGGCTGCCTAGAGGAGGTCACAGCTGTAATATTGACCTCCTTTGCAATCTTTCCATCCTGCAGGATAAAAATACCTTTAACAAAAAAGAAAGCTTTGAAGAGAGCATTCTCAGAAACCAACTTTTTAACAACTCTTCTATATTCTCAACCATTGTTATCTACCGATCTTAGTAGAAAAAGCCGACCAGTGCACTGTAGAATCAGAAAAGTGGGAACAGAGTCCCGGAGCCATCAAGCAGGATCTTGCAGACAGGAAGGGACCCAGGCACATGCCCTCGCCAACCTGACTGGTAACTGGGAGCAGTTTTCCTTCAACTGAGAGAGGCAGAGAGGTGTGTGGAAAACAAGGAGCAATGCATCTGCTGCCTACGTGGTGGCTTTGAGGTTATGACTTACCTGTTTGTGCCCAGGTTCTATAATCAGGAGTGGGGCTGCAGTCCGAGAACCCCAGCAAGCAGAGCTGGGGTGGAGAGAGACCAGCCTCTGGGGAGAAGAAAAGTCATGGCTCTGAAATCATGGCTCTACCACGGGCCATTTCAGCCCGTTGATTAAAAAAATAATAATAATAAAATACTAGGGGGATATTTTATTTCAGGAAACAAGGCCTTTGTAATGGCACAAAGCAAAAATAGAGAATAATGTCTTATTCTTCTAGGAACTGTTCATCATAGTTGCTAAGAAGTCAAGATCAGATGCTGTGGGGGGCTTGATCTCCAAGGACCCCAAGAACACACTTACACTGTCCTCTAAATGTCCACCTGCCCACACACATGCATTCCATTCTCCCTGCAGGAGAGGAAGTACAGGTAGTCGCCAACTTTTGACGGGGGCTCTGTTCCAACAAGTCTGTTGTAAGTTGATTCTGACATAAGTCGAATGCTTTCTTTTTTTTTAAGTTTTATTTCCTGTTATACAGTAGTGTTTTGAACAGTAAATCATAACATTGAATATTGGCAAGTGAACCTCTGAGAATGATAACATCAGCAAATTAGACACTGCAATGTTGTATGTAGCACATATTACTAAAGATCAGCTGTACCAAAAAAATCCAGATGGTCATAAATGTAGTCTGTCATAACTCAAATACATTGTAAGTCGGGGACTACCGGTAAATGAAATCTAAAGCAAGTCAATTCCTGCAGTGGGAGGGTAAGGAGTCATTGTTACGACTGAATGCTTATTCCCCAAGTAAATGTACTGCTCCTGAGATGGCCCCGTTTCTCTTCTGTAGACCCTCCTGACTGTGTGGACAGGTGGAAGAAAGGTTGGATGATGCTGATGTTCTTTGAGCTTCCATTTAAACAAGAGGAAAGGTGCGATTGAAAGTAGGAAGAAGTTCCTACAGAAAATGCACAGCTCTGAAGGTGGAGAGAAAAAGATCAAGGGGAGAGGCAACAAGGTTACAAGCAGGCCTCTGGGCTGGGCGTCGTCTGGTATTCAAGTTATTTGGTGTTTAATATGGAAAACATGCTATTGATATAGTCCAGGGATGAGTGCAGAGGCCTTTCTCAAACAGCACAACCAGGGACTACTAAATTCAGATAGTATAAGTTACCTGTGTATTTAAACATAGTGACATCTCATCATGTTGTTGCTGTTGTTATGTGTCATCGAGCCAGGTCTGACTCATAGCGACCCCTCTTTGGGTTTCCGAGGCAGTATCACTATGGAAGTAGATTGCCCAACCTTCCTTCCGAGGAGTGGCTGGTGGGTTTGAACCACCAGCCTTCTGGTTAGCAGTCAAGTGCCTTAGGCACTATACTAAAAAATCCCTTGGCCTGACTAAGTGGTTATCTATGGTGGATAAAGTCCCTGGGAAGTGCCAACGGTTTGGGCTCGACTACTAACCTAAATATTGGTGATTTGTACCCAGCCAGCAGCGCTGTGGAAGAGAGGTCTGGCAATCTGCTTCCATAAAGAATACCCCATGGAGCAGTTCCACAGAGCAACACATGGGGTCCCCATGAGTCAGAACTGACTTGATAACAACAGCTTTGGGTTGTTTTGGTTTTTAAAGTGTGAATAAGAGGATGAGTGGTTATTAAAAGTCTCGCAAGTCAAGTTAAGGTCCCAGGGACTGGGGAGCAAGAGAGAGGCTGGACAACAGCATAAAAAATGAGCAGAATGAGGTTTTATCTCAATTGTCCAGTCAGAAATCTGTATTCTTCTATAAGTGATCTTTGGATCTTTGAGGTTGGGGTGGGGTTAGGGTTGGGTCCCAAATAGCTGAATAAGGTAGAACTCAGGACACCTGCCTCCCTGTATAAACACACACACACCACCAGCCACCCTAGCTATACAAAGTTGATTTATCTCTCGTTACTATAGGTATTTTTGGCAACAATCAATCCCTTTTAATTTTTTATTTTCTGCTTTACAGGAAAAAAAGAACTCAAAGAACAAAAAACTCTAATTACTTCCATCCCCTGTGTTCATGCCTAATCTTTGCAATATTTATGTATAGAGTCATCCACGTGAATCTATAGTTGATGTTCTCATTTTCCACTCACCACATTTTTGTCTCCACATTTCTACATGCAGATAGTTAAGTTATAGCTACGGAGAGCACCCAGATAGATAGGAGACATATACTTGCCGTTTTTTATCAGTTCTGTAATGCCTAAGGCATTTGACTGCTAACCAGAAGGCTGGCGGTTCAAACCCACCAGCCACTCCTCAGAAGGAAGGTTGGGCAATCTACTTCTGTAGAGATACCACCCCGCAAACCCAAGGAGGGGTCGCTATGAGTCAGGATCAAATTGACAGCAGTGAATTTGGTTTTGGTTAATTCCTAGCTATCTTCCTGCTGTTGGATCTGGGGGTTGGGCTCAACCTTTGCAGTTACCAGCAGTGGTAGCAGTCCATTCCTGGACGTCTTTCTCTAGAAAGGTGTAAAGTGATCTTAGCTAAGCAGAAACACATTTCAACTCGCAAATTGTTGGAAGAGTTTGAAAAGTTCAAGCTCCAAAGAAATGAAGTTAGCTGTCCTTGGCTGCTTACAACTTTATAACAGGTCAAATGGGTAAAGTCCAAGAGGGCTCAAGTTTCTACCCCATGTTTGATGTCTCAGCCCTCCATCCGGACCACAGCAAGCCAAGCTGACTTCCCCACAGCTCAGGGCAGAGATATGAAGGCTCGCTCTGCGGCCCATACCCAGTCCTCCCCACCGAGGTGCATGGTGACGGAGACACCAGCCATCATGCCAGCATCAGCAATCCCCACGCTTGCTCTCCTGCTTCTGCCGACCTGTGTGAGAGGCGACCCTGCTTGCCCCGTTGCTGCAGAGTAACAGGTGGATTAGCCACTTGCTGGGGACTGTCAGGAAGAATGAATGGTGAGCAGCAGTGCCGTGTGAGGCCCAGTGGGACTTTCAGAGGCAAAATGGGAACTGTGTTCAGCAGAGAGGCCAAGCATAGGGGGGTGGGATGCAGCTGCCGCAGGAGGCAGTTAGAATCTGCCTGAAGGGTTCCAAGACCTGGGCTAATGGAAGACTGAAAAGGTCCACAGCTAAAGAGCTAGGGCTGCCTCACAAGGAGCTGCCTTTTCCTCCACTATCCTTTGCTCATGTGCTTTTAGATCATATCTATAGCTTATACATCACACTTGGTAGAGGGTCAGCGAAAAAGAGGAAGACCTTCAATGAGATGGATCAACACAGTGACTATAATGATGGGCTCAAGCATAACAACGAATGGCACAGGGCAGAGCAGGGTTCCGTTCTGTTGTGCTATGAGTCCGAGCTGACTTGACAGAGTCTAACAACAGTAAAGCTTCTACAACATTTAACTTTGGGTGTTTGGCTTAAATAATGGAGAAGACTGTCCTTTTCTACCTACAGGCAGAAATGACGGCTTTGTGTTTTACTGTTTTTGCAGGACCTAGCACAGCAGCCAGGACCAAGTGAGCTCTCCTTGAAGCTGGATTGAAGTGAGTCTTATATAGTCTTTTTAGTTACTGGTTCTAGAGGGTGAGATTTCTGTCCTTTCAAGTGAAGTAAAAACTTTGTTCTTAAATAGAGCCTGTGGGAAACCTTGGTCATTTGCTGTTTTTGTTTTATTTTTTACAAATTATTTGATGGTGATTTGACACTCTGGGTGGGTGCAGACAGTTTGCCCTAGACTAACTTAAAGGTTGGCAGTTCAAACCCATCCAGTGGCACTGCAGAAGAAAGGCCTGGCCGTCTGCTTCCATAAAGATCACAGCCAAGAAAGCCCTGCGGAGCAGCTCTGCTCTGTAACACGTTATGTCACCATGAGTTGGAATCGACTTGATGGCAACAGGTTTGGGGGGTTTGGGGTATAGGTGGAAAGACTTATTTGATTGTATTGACCCTTATATGCCATAAAGGTGTCTTCATGTCTGTGAGCCCATTCACTGATGTCGTTTAAGAGGTTTGCTGACTTAAAACCTGAGACGAGTAAAATGCCTAATTTTATTCTCCTTTCTCTGCATGCCTTTCTATCAGAGCTCCCCATCTCATCTCTATAAAGCTCTCAGAAAGCCCAGGACCAAGAACCTAATTCAGACCCTTGGCAGATGGACACCAGTATCCTCTCCTAACCAGCAGGATGGAGACCACACCCTTAAATTCTCAGCGGGACCTGTCAGCGTGTAAGGATGGAGAAGACTGCCATGAAAATGGAGTTCTACAGAAAGGTGTCCCCACCCCAGGCAATAAAGCAGAGCCTAGCCACATCTCCAATGGGTACTCGGGGCTTCCGAGTCCGGGTGCAGGAGATGACACCCAGCACTGCACCCCAGCAGCCACCGCCACCCTAGTGGCTGAGGTTCATCAGGAGGAACGAGAGACCTGGGGCAAGAAGGTGGATTTCCTCCTGTCAGTCATTGGCTATGCTGTGGACTTGGGCAACGTCTGGCGCTTTCCCTACATATGTTACCAGAATGGAGGAGGTTGGTATGCTGGGCCATGGAGGGGGTCTCTAACTGAGAGGTGGGCGGTGGGCTACAGATCCTCTTGGGAAACCAAAGGATAAGCCATGTCTTTTCTGTCTTATTTAACTGACATTAGTCTGGGAACATGAGTCTGGAAACATAAGTCTAGCTTAGACTTTCAAGCCAGTCTAAAAGACAAATCCTCAATCAGCCAAAAGCTTGCATTAGCATGTCTGAGGCTTCTTGGGTTGTACAGTTGGACTCAAGTTCTGCAAACTTGACCTCACCAGACTTCCATCAGTGCTTCCTGTGTGGAGGGGTCTCTCTTCCCGTCTCTCCAGGCTCTCCTCTTCACCATGCCGGGCTTGGGGGGTAGTCTGCACTGAGCTAAGTTTCTCCACTCTGGGTGGTAGGTTCCACTCAGAAGGATCTGGAAGGGTTAGATCTGCACAAGAAAAAAATGGAAGGTGGTTTCAGGGTCCCAGACCCTACTGGGCACGTGTGAGGTCAGAGAAGGGCCTCAACTTGGGTCCAGAGTTACCAGTCTGGGCATGATCTAAAGCTGGACCTAGTGACAGTATGAAATTAATGTAAGCCCCAAACCATACATGTTTCATAATATTTGGTTCCACAATCAGCACCAATGGAAGCAGCAGTCAAGAAATTAGATGTCATATTGCATTGGGCAAATCTGCTGCAAAAGACCTGCTTAAAGTGCTGAGGAGCACAGACTTTGTATCACTTACTTTGGTCATGTTGTCAGAAAGAATCAGTCCCTGGAGAAGGATATCATGCTTGGTAAAGTGGAGGGGCAGCAAAAAAAGAAGGCCCTCAATGAGATGGATTGTCACTGTGGCTTTAACGATGGGCTCAAGTATAGCAAAGATTGTGAGGCTGGCACAGGACCGGGAAGTGTTTTACTCTTTTGTACATCGGGTTGCTAGCGCCAGAGCTGACTTGGCAGCACCTGACAACAACAATAACAAACCACATGGAGATACCTTATATCTCCTAAGAGAGTATTTGATTTTTGAGGCTGGAGACCACATCTTGTTCTTCCCGGTACCCTCAAAGTGTCTATAGCAGTTAACTTATAGGTTATCAAATATAGTAGTGACTGTAGGCATGGCTGTATGAACCCCAGGGAGAGCAGAGCATAGGAGAGAAGTGAGTAGAATGGACCTCTGTGTGGACACCGTGTTGTAGGCCAAGTCCCAAAATAATGACTAGAAAGTCAGCTGTAGCTCAGAGAGGATAGTAACTTTGCAAGATGGAGACACACAGGGCCAGAGGCAACGCCACATGTGTCTCCCCTAGCCTGTAAGGGTCGGGGTTTTTATAATAGTTTTAAAGCTGTGGGGTATGTGATTTCAAAAGCCCTTATGTAGGCAAGTTGCTCATAAAATTCTAACCTTTTTACAAAAGTCAGGAAGCGGAACAAGGCTGTGATAAATTCCTAATGATAAACCTCATCTTCCTTCAGGCTAGGTGCATGTTCAGTCTCTTTCTAAGATGGAGCCTATGTCTTTCAACATGGATGCCATGACTTCTTCCATGCAGGTGTATTCTGCTGTTTGCTCTTGGTTCAAGTCTTGGTCTCGTCTTAGGTCGGCCATCTTAGTTCACTGGGAGGTAAAGGAAGGCAGGGATGTACAGACTCCAAAACTTGTTAACTCTGACCATGGGTAGTGGGCTAGAAAACACCTCACAAATGGCCTGTTATCAGGAAGTGCCATCTAAGCAGCAGATTTACAGACTTGCAGTTGCATTATTTCTTTTGCAGGGTCCCTTCCTTAGTCTCAGGATCTGCGGAATGTGGTTGCCCTGTCCTGTGAGCTGCTCCTATCTTGGTTTTATGATCTTAGGAATGTGGTTGTAGGGGCAAGATTCTTTTTTTTTTTGTCTCTCTCTCTCGCTTTTTTTTTTTTTTTAATTGTGATTTGGGTGAAAATTTATAGAGCAAATTCACTTTCCATATAGCAGTTCACATATACTTTGTCTCATGACATTGACCACAATTCACCACAATGCAGCGGCTCCCTTACCACTTCCTCCCAACAATCACCTCTTCCTTGTGTCCATCCCTCCATGCACTCCTGCCCCCTGAGCTGTCTCCCTGTGCATAAACCAGATAAAGCCCTTCTTTCTCCCGTGATTGTTCTCTCCAAGGAGTGTATTTACCTCAGGTAAATGTTCAACTCCTATGCCTGTCTTTTGCTTGGCTGGAAGCCACAGGTGTGGGTTCAGTTCCAGACCTGAAGGGCAGCTAAGGGCCATAGTCTCAGTGGTTCCACCAGGCTCTATCAGACCAACAAACTTGGTCCCCCCCCCCCTTGTTTTTTCCCAAATGCTTTTGAGTTTTGTTTCACATTGTTCTCCCTCTCTATCTAGGGTCTCGTACATAGATCCCCTCCGAGTGGTTGACATTGGTAGCCAGGCACCATCTAGTTCTTCTGGTCTCATAGTCATATAGGCTGCAGGTCGCATGGTGTAACAGTCTCTAGGACTAATTGTTTCCATGAATCTTTGGTTTTCTTCATTCTTCTTTGCTCTGGATGAGGAGAGACCCATCGTTGCATCTAGATGGCTGCTTGCAAGCTTTTAAGATCCCAGTTGCTAGTTGCCAAAGTAGGAGGTGGAACAGTGTTTTGTGTATTATGTCATGCCAATTGAACTTGATGTGCAGGGGCAAGATTCTTATATGATTATGGCTACAAGTAGTAGAATAAGGCAATGTTTAAACTGAACAAGATTATATGGAGATTTAGGTTATAAAGGTAGAACACATTCATCTCCCAGAAATACTATTACAACTGGACTTGCTACCAGACTACAATAAGGACAAGAAATGAGAGTCAAATCAGTATTTATTTTGACAGGCCCTCTGGCAATAGATTTGAGAGGATAAGCCATGTCTTTTCTATCAGCAATAATGAGGTTTGGGGGATCATTTATTTGTGTCACCCTCATGTCTTCCATGACCCAACAGAATAGCCTCTGTCCATGCAGCTCTGGTAGCATAGTGCCTAAGGCACTTGACTGCTAACCAGAAGGCTGGTGGTTCAAACCCACCAGCCACTCCTCGGAAGGAAAGTTGGACAATTTACTTCCACAGTGATACTGCCTCGGAAACCCAAGGAGGGGTTGCTATGAGTCAGGTCTGACTCAACGGCACATAACAACAACAAGAAGTCCATGCAGCTACAAAGGCAATTGCAGATGGGCCTCTGACACCCAGAGTTCCCTGGCTGGGAGAAGAGAAAGTCATAACCACCTTATCTACAGCCCAGGAGGACTAACCTTTAGCCTGAGCATTATATAAGGGGCTGGGTCAGTGGTGATGTTTCCCCTACATGCTCTGCCTACTCTAAAGCCAGTCAAGCAAACCCTCTGGATGAAGGCCACGGCAAAAGCACAACATGGTTCTTCTTCTCAAACCACATTCACCCAGTGTGATTGTAAGTTAGGCGGGGACTTTCTGAGTTGTACTGGCTTCAGGTTCCCAGGTTCAAAGCACTTCATAGGAGGTAGAGTTATTGGGAAAATCACAACTGGTCCACCGTTGGGCTAAAATTTTATAAATTCAGCCTCAGCCATGCAGTCCCACAAGGCCCAGGAGACGCTAGCCTATCCAGTAACACAGCATTCTTATTTTGTGAAAACTTAAATCCTTTTTTTTAAACATACCTGCACAGGTGACTCATGAGGGATAATTTTGGCCCAGTGGAGTTATGAGATGATAGCCAAATACAATAAAAATAAAAATAAAAATAAAATAATAATCCCATGTCTGGACTCATGGATGATACAGATGTGCCAAGATACTGGTTCAGAGACTCTGTAGGTGGTTGCAGCTGTTACCTTACAGGTGACCTGGTCCAAGGGTCCCTAACACTGGTCTATGTATCTGTTGCATGAGAATCACCTAGGGAGCTTGAAAAAAGACTTGTGCCTCATACTTATACCTAGAGATTCTGCTTCAGGATGTGGGGGATGGATCCAGGAATCTATGTGAGTATGTTTTTAAACTCACCAGGGATTAGGATGCATGGCTGAGTTTGGGAACCCAGCTCTCCTCAACCCTGCCCTTCCACAGGGGAAAAAATTGGGGCTTAGAGAGGGGAAGTGGCCCCAGGTCGTAGAGGTAGGTTGAAGTGGAGCGAGTACTGGTACCTGCTCTCTTGACTCCCAAACCCAGCTTCTGTCCGTTTAAAGTATCTTCCTTCTCCAAAACATGTCTTCAGCCATGTAGCCAAATCACTACTATTTTGGATGAAGCACTAAGATAAAGGGAGCGCAGTGGGAAGTCACTCAGCACAGAATGCGTCCTGTCAGTTGGCTTCATGAAGCACTATGGGGCCCCTTGTCCAAATCAGTTGGGCTACCTGGGACGGATGTGGGCAGGGAATGAAATTATCTTTCACCTTTCTCAGGGGCATTCCTCCTCCCCTACACCATCATGGCCATTTTTGGAGGGATTCCACTCTTCTACATGGAGCTTGCATTGGGCCAGTACCACAGAAATGGATGCATTTCAATATGGAGGAAAATCTGCCCGATTTTCAAAGGTAACCGAAGGGCTTGGGTGGTGAGTGAGTAGGGCCTCCCAAGGGAGTGTTAGGAACTTGGGGGCTTCTTTTGGAATCAGTTAGGAATCACTTAGGCCTCGGGTATCCCTGGGAAAGAACTTGGGTAATAAGTTTTTTTGCCTGTAAAATTGGTAAAGGGAATTGTTGAATTGGCAACTGTTTTGTTATATCTATTTTATCACTATGGAAGTGGATTACCCAATCTTCCTTCTAAGGATTGGTTGGTGGGTTTGAACTACCACCCTTCTGGCTAGCAGTCAAATGCCTTAGGCACTACACCACCAGAGCCCCTGATTTTTATCACACTAAAAAAGGAACAACATCAATGACCATTTAAAGGAAACGAAGTAAGAAATCCTAAATAAAGTTCTATTATTTAAATGGGAAAAAAATGAGTATAATCAAATGTAAAATAAATAGTTGAATTTTAAAAGCATTAGTAGTACACACACATTTTTCTAAAACATGTCACTTTGCAAATACTTATAAAGTTCTGGATTGCCCCTTTTCCCGCTGTCTTCCTTGGGGACTGAGTTGAGTAGCAGTACCCACCTCTCTGCCACCCATCTGTCAGTTTACTGTACCATGGTGGCTTGCATGTTGCTGTGATGCTAGAAGCTATGCCACCAGTATTTCAAATACTAGCAGGGTCACCATGATAGGCAGGTTTCAATGGTGCTTCCACACTGAAAGAGATCAGGAAGACAGGCCTGGCAACCTCTTTCCAAAGATTAACCAATGAAAACTCTATGAAGTACAACAGGAAATTGCCTGAACTAGTGCTTGCTGGAAGATGAGCCCCCCAGGTTGGAAACACTCAAAATACATCATAGTGGCCTCAACAATGGATTCAAGAATACCAGCGATTGTGAAGGTGGCACAGGACTGGGCATCGGTTCGTCCTATTGTACATGGGGTCGCCATGAGTCAGAGCCAATTAATAACAACAGTCCACCTCTACCCCTCCTTCATGCCGCAGTGCCCTCCAAGGCCCACTTTTGATCCTTCACATTGAGCTGCCCTTAAAACCTGTCTGTCCTCTTTCACCCTCTCTCTCCTGCTTCCCAGGAATCGGTTACGCCATCTGCATCATTGCCTTCTACATTGCCTCCTACTACAACACTATCATGGCCTGGGCACTCTACTACCTCATCTCCTCCTTCACGGACCAGCTGCCCTGGACCAGCTGCAAGAACTCCTGGAACACAGGCAACTGCACCAACTACTTCTCTGAGGACAACATCACCTGGACGGTGCACTCCACGTCCCCAGCTGAAGAGTTTTACACGTAAGTGCATGTAAGTGAGGGAGTGGCCTGTCAGGGGCAGGCCACGCCCCTGGGCTTTGGCTTCTTCTTGAGGAACTTCTGAGAGATGAAGCTGTTAGGGCTGGTGAATGAACATGAGTGAGGAAGTGACAGAGCAGGCCCCAGGCAGGATATCTAGAGTTGGGGGACCCTGCCTTGAGTTGTCTGTCACCTGACCCTCCTGTGCCAGGCTGCCCCAGTGTACCCAGGCTGGTCCCCACCTTCACATTCCCAAAGTATTCCCCTGCTTCCAAACCACCTTCTGCCCAGGCTCTCTTCTCAGCCATGGAAGCAAAGCATTTAACAAACTATTTCAGATGGTTTATGGTTTAATTTGTTGACTTCATAAATGGGATCTACCTTTTGGAAGAAGGTGATTGGAGAAGGTCGTACACTTTGAAGCTGGAATTTCAGGCAGTAGGGCAGCCCAAAGAGAGAGCTTCCTTAGGGTGGCAGAGGGGGCCCAGCACCCACGCATACAAATCTTCATGTGCCATTCTGCCATTTGTGTTAGTGGAAAGGATACAAGTATCAGCCAGGAAAGGTGACTCGAAGTCTGTTTGGGTTCAGTGCTCTTCTCAGAGTCTGTGGGCTGAATGTGTGGCTCATCTCCTCTGAGGCTCAAGGACCAGAGGGTCCTGCAGTGCAGGGTCTCCTGAAGGCATCATAGATTGTATGTTTACTTCACTGCTCTGCTCCTCAGAGGCTTCTCTTTTACCCCAGACGCCACGTCTTGCAGATCCACCGGTCTAAGGGCCTCCAGGACCTGGGAGGCATCAGCTGGCAGCTTGCCCTCTGCATCATGCTCATCTTCACTGTTATCTACTTCAGCATCTGGAAAGGTGTCAAAACATCTGGCAAGGTGAGGGGGATGCTGGCTGATGCTCCAGGGTCCCAGAGTGTCTCAAGCCCAGAACCCAGTAGCAGTGAGCTGTAAGCATGGGTATAGTCACACTCCATGATGCACAGTCTCTTCACAAAATCTGTTAGAAAATTATGGAAGTGGCCAATCCCAAGAACCACTATATAATTTTATTTCCAAATTCTTTTAACTCACTGGCAGTAGTATAATTAATCATGTTGTTGTTGTTATGTGCCATCAAGTCAACCCCAACTCCTAACGACCCCTCCTTGGGTTTCTGAGGTGGTATCACTACGGAAGTAGATTGCCCAACCTTCCTTCCGAGGAGTGGCTGGTGGGTTTGAACTGCCAGACTTCTGGTTAGCAGTCAAGTCCCTTAGGCACTACACCACCAGAGCTCCCATCATTAATCATAGTGGCAATCATTTATTTATTTATTTATTTTAAATTTTTATTGTGATTTGGGTGAAATTTTACAGAGCAAATTCATTTTCCATGCAGCAGCTCACACACATTTTATTTCATGACATTGACTGCAGTTCCCCACAATGTAACAGCTCCCTTTCCATTTCCTCCCTGAAGTTACCTCTTCCCTGTGTCCTTCCCTCCCATACACTCCCACCTCCCTCAGCTGTCTCCCTGTGCAAACACTGTCCTTCTGTTCTCCCACCAAGGAGTGTATCTACCTGATGTAAATGTTCACCCCATGTGCCTATCTATTGTTTGGCTGGAAGAGTGGCAATCATTTATTGAAAACCATCATAGACCATATCAGTGTTTTCTATATACTGGCTAACAATACTGCCCCATGCTAGATAGTTTCTGAATTTTATAGGGGTAGCTAGTACTGGCCAAGTGAGAGCAGTGGTGGTTCAGTGGTAGAATTCCCGCCTCCCATGGGGGAGATCCAGTTCAGTTGCAGCCAATGCAGAGGAACCAATCATCTACCAGTAGAGGCTCACAGGTTGCTGTGATGCTGAACAGGTTTCAGTGGAGCTTCTGGACTAAGACAGACTAGAAATAAAGGACTGATGATCTACGTCCAAAATTCAGCTAGAGAAAACCCTGTGGATCACAACAGTCTGATCTGCAGTTGATCGTGGGGATGGCGTGGGACTGGGCTGTGGTTCATTCAGTTTTGCATGGGATTGCCATGCATCCAGGGCCAATGTGAAGGCAGCGAACAACACAACAGCTGTACTGGCCACGTTATGAATCAAGTCCCCGTCCATCTGATTCTAAAGCTTGTGGTCTTTCCACTACACCACCCTGCCTCTTATAATTACAGGGAAAAAAAATGTGTATGTAAGGGTCTCCCTTCTCGGAGACCTTCAAGAATATATGACATCAACATCCACCCACTGCCCTCCTAACCTCTTCCTGGTAGCACAGTGATAACCTGATTTCCACTCTCCTTCCTTGCAGGTGGTGTGGGTGACAGCTACATTCCCTTATATCATCCTCTCTATCCTTCTGGTAAGGGGAGCCACCCTCCCTGGAGCCTGGAGGGGTGTTCTCTTTTACCTGAAACCCAACTGGCAGAAACTCCTGGAGACAGGGGTAAGATAATAGGGGAAAAGGCATGGACCTATCTGTCATTTTACTAACTGAGCTAGTCCTCCTCCAACCAGGACATTAAGGGCAACTGAAATTTGGCTTCAAAAAGCAATGATGCCTTAAACCAGAAATACAAGCAGAAAAACACAGTTGAGGCCATTGGGTTGGTTGATGCCTAAATGATAGGAATAGAAATCACATTTGTTTGCACTTGATATGTGGCTACCCTTGGTGTGAGCCTTGAAAGCTGGTTTTCACCAGTTCCTCCACACCTATGATGTCATAAGAGGTCTTGGCCCTCCTCGCCCCCATGCCCTTACCTCTGCTGTGTTCCAGGTGTGGGTGGATGCTGCAGCTCAGATCTTCTTCTCTCTGGGTCCTGGCTTTGGGGTCCTACTGGCTTTTGCTAGCTACAACAAATTCAACAACAACTGTTATCAGTGAGTATCTGAGATCCCCCAAGCAAAGCTTCAAAGTGGGGCGAGTAGAAGGTATCTAGTTTGGAGAAAGTCTTGTAGATGGAATCGGTAACCTTAAACCTGGCTGGGCTCAGGCTGTGATGAGACTGCAGGTCCCTGACCAGTTCACTCTTGGCCAAACCACCCACCCAGACAGTAAACTCACCCAAGCCATGCAGAAATTGAGAGAGGCCTAGATTTCTCTTTGTTTTGTGAGTCCCTGTACATTAAAAAAAAAAAGTTAATTAAAAAGTTCCAAAGTAGGTTTACAAAAACTGCAACATGCATTAAACTTTAAATTTAATGTGTTTAACACCAAAAATTACAATGTGATAATTTATGTACACATACACAAAAGTATAAGGAGCTCTGGAGGCATAGTGCCTAAGGCATATGACTGCTAACCAGAAGGCTGGCGGTGCAAACCCACCAGCCACTCCATGGAAGGAAGACTGGGTGATCTACTTCCTTAAAGATTTACCGCCTTGGAAACCCAAAGGGGGTTGCTATGAGCTGGAACGATTTTGATGACACAAAATGCCATCATTTTTGTGGCAAAATTGCATTCCAAAATTTTTGACAAACCAGGAAGTCTTGCACCAATTATGATTTAAATATCATTCATTGTCTTTAGACTTAATTTTGTTTTAATGAATATTCTATCACAGTTGACAATGGTCAGCAATCTAATGTGCTGTTCATTAGATAATTACAGAATTTATTTAAAAAAAAAAAAAGAGTTCGCATGCACCATGGACAATATGGTCATCTTTTAATCCTGAAGTTGTATGGAGACATCTTCTTTTGAAAGTGTCAGAGTATCCCCATGGCAGTCTTATGCCTTCATTGACAGATGATGTCAAAAGTCAAGTTTGAATAGACATATAAATACATAGAAACCAAAGTTTATTAGTGGTTACCAGGGGCTGGAGGGAGGAGAAAGCGTCGAGTGCCTGTTCATGGTGATGGAAAATTTAGCAACAGATACAGGTAATGATTGCACATCATGATTCAGGTAATCAATGTCAGTGAATTGTACATGTAAAAAAAAATGTTGAATTGGTAAATGTTGGGAGATATATATATATATTTGCCACAGATACAAAAAAGTTTAGATCTGAAGACTTCATAGTTGTGAGGCCAAGGCCCCTTCTTGGTCCTTACTCCAACCTATGCTTTAAAGCAAGACTTGTGGAAATGGAAAGGTCTGAGCTGGGGGTGGTACATACAGTTAAACACTTGACAACTAACCAAAAGGTTGGAAGTTCAAACCCACCCAGAGACACCTAGGTAGACAGGCCTGGAAAATCCTAGAGAGAAGTTCTACTCTGCACTTATGGGGTCTTCATGAGTCTGCATTGATTCGAAAGCAACAACGATGACAATGACAATGACGACAACAACAACAAGTTGTGCTGTTTCAAAACAAGGTCATCTTTCAAAATAACCCCTAACCTTACATGGGAGGTACGGACAACCAAGATGAACCCTTTGCATATACAGTACTGCATTGTCAGTGATGGCAAGCATTGATCTATGGGTGGCTAGATGGGTGGATAGACTGAACGATCAAGTTATGTCTAGGCAGGGGGTAATGTGCCTGTGCCCATGTATAGGGTTGGCAGATGATGTTTCTACAAGAGTATTCATACGTGCAGTAAGAATGTGCAGGTGTATAGTAGAGCTGATGAGGGACAAGGTTGTAGTGACTTCTTAGCCACAGGCAATGACCCAGAGAGAATGAGTAGTTGGACCTGTGGGCTCGGGACCATGGTTGCAGGGGACATCAAATTCAACTGACAAAACATACTACACAAAAACATTGTTCTACATCCTATTTTAGTGAGTAGTGACTGGGATCTTAAAAGTTTGCAGGCAGACATCTAGATGCATCGATGGGTTTCTCCTCGTCCAGAACAAAGAAGAATGAAGAAAACCAAAGACTCATGGAAACAATTAGTGCAAGGAACTGGTAGACCATGAGAGCCTCAGCCTATATGACCATGAGACCAGAAGAACTAGATGGTACCTGGCTACCACTATCAACCACTCAGAGGGGGATCAGTGTAGGAGATCATGGATAGAGTGGAAGAACAATGTGGAACAAAACTCAAAACCATTAAAAAAAAAAAAAAAAAGACCAGGTTTTCTAGTCTGATTGAGCTTGGTGAGACCCCTGAGACTATGGCCCCTAGCTACCCTTCAGGTCTGAAATTGAACTCACTCCTGTGGCTTCCAGCCAAACAATAGACAGGCATATAGGGTGAACATTTACATCAGATAGATACACTCCTTAGAGCAATCAATCATGGGAGAACTGAAGGGCAGTGTTTACACAGGGAGATAGCTTGCGGGGGGTGGGAATGCATGGGAGGGAAGGACACAGGGAAGGGTAACTCCGGGGAGGAAGTGGAAAGAGAGCTGTTACATTGTGGGGAATTGCAGTCAATGTCATGAGACAAAATGTCTATGAAGTGCTGTATGGAAAATGAATTTGCTCTGTAAACTTTCACCCAAATCACAGTAAAAAATAAAATAACCCCTAACCTGCTGTTGCCCCCATGCCATGTGCAGTAGTAACAACAGCTTGTGCTTTAAGGTTGATCCCACCTCCCTGAGAGGGAGGGGCTCTGGGAAAGGGAGAGGGACACCAGCTCAGCCCACTTATCCTTACAAAGGCAGGGCCAGTCGGGCAAGGCGGGCACACAATCAGATGTTCCTTACACTCCTGACCTTGGTTTTCTACCCTAGAGATGCCCTGGTGACCAGTGTGGTGAACTGCATGACGAGCTTCGTTTCAGGATTTGTCATCTTCACAGTGCTTGGGTATATGGCCGAGATGAGGAACGAAGACGTGTCCGAGGTGGCCAGAGACGCAGGTGGGACCCCAGGATCCATTTGGATCCCTTGCTCCTACTGAAGTGCTTTGAGCTGTCCTGGCCTGGGTTTCTCTTTGCTGCTCTTTGGAACTTTGAACTATTATTATTATTTTAATGAACACTAAACAGGGAAATGGATCCCCCTATGTGTATTTTTAGAAGCTCTGGTGCTGTAGTGCCTAAGGCATTTGACTGTTAACCAGAAGGCTGGTGGTTCAAACCCACCAGCCACTCCTCGGAAGAAAGGTTGGGCAATCTACTTCTGTAGTGATACTGCCTTGGAAACCCAAAGAGGGGTCACTGTGATTTTGGTTTTTGGTTTATGTGTATTTTTCAAATAGACCTTTTTTTTCCCACCAAAAGAGCAGTTTCTAGCTTTACAGAATTGAAATAATTTTAAATGTTCCTATTGCATTTTTCAAAGGTTTTAGAGAAACTTACTGTCCTGGAGATCTCAACCTTCCTATGCATTCAGGCCACGGCAGGCGCAGGGCAGCTCTCTGGCACCCAGTACTGTGGCTGTAAATATACTGTGGGCTAGAAAGCATGACTTGGGTGATTGTTTGGGTCAGTGGGTTTGGGTTCTGGGTCTAGATGTTCAAGTCCAGGAAACAAATGATTAATAATGCTTAGCACTGCCCACTACAGAAAAAGAAAACATAGCTCAGTTCTACCCACTGTTGGTCTAGTGCACAACGAGGGTCTCATGGAAAAAGAAAAGAGCAACAGATGTTGAAAAAGAGATGATGGGGTCTCATGAGTGGGATCCCAGGGCTGTCCTGCTAACATACTGTGTGTTTGGCCTGATGGGGTGCTCTGACCCCTCAGCAGGAAGTAGGACCCCTTAACTAGGCCATGAGGGATTGAGGGCACATTCTTCACACAACCAAAATGGACTTGTGACTCTACCAAAATCAATTTTACATTTCCAACATTTCTGGACTGATTAAGACTCATTAACAACCTGTGATACACAGATGACACTTTGCTTGCTGAAAATCAGTATGGCTTGAAGCACTTACTAATAAAGATTGAAGCCTACAGTCTGCAGTATGGATTACACCTCAATATAAAGAAAACAAAAATCCTCACAACTGGACCAATAAACAGCATCACAATGACAGGAGAAAAGATTGAAGTTGTCAAGGACTTCATATTACTTGGTTCTACAATCGACACCCACGGAAGCAGCAGTCAGGACATCAAAAGACATACTGCATTGGGCAAATCTGCTGCAAAATACCTCTTTCAAGTGATGAAGAGCAAAGATGTCTCCTTGAAGACTAAGGTGCACCTAACCCAAGCCGTGGTATTTACAGTCACCTCTTATCCATGTGAAAGCTGGACAGTGAATAAGGAAGACCAAAGAAGAGCTGATGCTTTTCAGTGGTGTTGGCAAAGATTGCTGAGAGTAGCATGGACTGCTCAAACAACTAATAAATCTATCCTGGAGGAAATGCAGCCGGTGCTCCTTGGAAGCAAGAATGGCCAAACTTCATCTCAACTACTTTGGTCATGTTATCAGAAGGAACCACTCCCTAGAGAAGGATATCATGCTTGGTAAAGTGGAAGGTCAATGAAAAAGGGGAAGGCTCAACAAAATGGATTGACACAGTGGCTGCAATGATGGGATTAGGTATAGCAAAGATTGTGAGGCTGGCACAGGACCGGGCAGTGTTTCTTCCTGTTGTACATAAGGTCAGTGTGAGTCAGAGATGATTTGATGGCAACTAACAACAACAACAACTTTTCTGGAGCTAAAGTGACACCACCTCAGAAACCCAAGGAGGGGTTGCTATGAATCAGATCCGACTCAATGGCAGTGAGTATTTTTTTTTTTTTGGTTTAAAGACATCATAAGTGGCTAAATGCTGTGAGGCTTTAGAGATATCAACCCTGGTCCCAAAACAAAGCCATGAATTATGACACAACAGAAATTATCATTGCATGCAACTTTGCCAGTCTTAGGGTCTCAGGTTTGTTTCCATCTGCAACGTAATTGTTGGTATGGCTGCATTTTCTTCTGTGACATCTATGTGGGGCAGGTCTTGGTGATCACTCCCCATCTCTCTCTTTTGTCTCAGGCCCCAGCCTTCTCTTCATCACGTATGCAGAAGCCATCGCCAACATGCCAGCATCCACATTCTTTGCCATCATCTTCTTCCTAATGTTAATCACACTAGGCTTGGACAGCACGGTGAGTCAATGGGGAGAGAAAATGGCTCAGGGGAAGACCCAAGGAAGAGGAGGAGGTAAAGGAAGCCACATCTATTCCCCATCTTGCCCATCCCAGCCAGTGCTGGCTGCTCATCCTGAAGCTCCCCTAGCCCCTTGTTCACTCCTCAGTGAGAGAACTCACTGCCCTTGAGGGCATTCGAGTCATTAATGGGATAAGATGGGCCAAGTGTCCATCACAGTCCAAGGACACAGTGGATGTGAACTGTTGTTCTTCTGCACTATCCCTTGACCAGATGGTGGCCCCTAAACTCCAGGGCAAGGCCAGTTTATGTCTCAGTGCTCTGCTCTGTGTTTGGCCGGTGCCTTGCATTGGTTAGGGTGGAGTGAGTCTCAGCTTGAGTAGGCCCTTCCAGGACAACTGAAGTCTCCACAAGACCCTCAGAGCACCTCCCAAACAGAAGTTCTGTCCATGTGCTGTATTTTCTTTCCTGGCTTTTCTTGGTGATGGGCTCCAAGTGTGTAAAACAGGAAAATAAACTTCGCAGGGCTTTTGTGGGCTGGTGAGTCTGGGGAGCTTGTCACGATCGGCTTGGCTGGTCACTCAGCAATCTTTCAGACCCTGGGATCATGTCCTACCTCCCTCCTCCTGCTCACTTTCCTTGGAGGTAAAAGACATGGCCCAAAGCCTCCACTGTGACCTTTTGTGTTTACCTCTCAGTTTGCAGGCTTGGAAGGGGTGATCACGGCTGTGCTGGATGAATTCCCCCACATCTGGGCCAAGCGCCGGGAGTGGTGCGTGCTTGGGGTGGTCACCACTTGCTTCTTTGGATCCCTGGTCACCCTGACTTTTGTGAGTACCATGGCCTTCACCCTTGAGAGATCCTCCCCTCTACAAATGGTTACTTTCCATCCATCTCACACAGTGCCCTGGCTTTGGAGCCAAAGGAAGGGGGGTTGTCACGCCATGAAAATTTGTCATCGAGGATAAGAAAAAAAGTTGCTTCTGGCAATATCTGTTTGTAGGATCCATGCATGGGCTCTGGAGGTTCTTAGCATTTTACAACTAGATGCAACTAGATTTCAGGCTTGGCAAAAAAATCTAGAGAACACCTAGGATCTATTTTCCCATCTGTTTTCATTGCTTAAGATTGCTTTCGTGGAATTTTGCCCTGAAATGCAGAACATCTGGAGG